GCACTTTAAGATTTAAAAGATCTTTAAACAAGAACCTTTTCTGAGGGGAGCCCCTTCGGCTCCCCGGAGCTATCCAGGCTGATATGAATGAATTAGGCCATGGCATCAATCAAGCGAATGGGGTTACCTGCTTGATACCTGCTTGATGGGGTTCTGGGAGTTCTTGTACTCCCCAAGCCTAGCCCGAGGCCAGGCTTGACTTGTGAGAGTTTGGTCCACCAGACTTTTGCTTGGAGTGGCCCACATACCCACAGGGAGCCGGTCGGCCGAGCGGACAGCACACTGGACTTGTGATCCTGTGGTCCTGGGTTCGATCCCAGGCGCCGGCAAGAAACAATGGGCAGAGTTTCTTTCACCCTATGCCCCTGTTACCTAGCAGCAAAAATAGGTATCTGGGTGTTAGTCAGCTGTCACGGGCTGCTTCCTGGGGGTGGAGGCCTGGTCGAGGACCGGGCCGCGGGGACACTAAAGCCCCGAAATCATCTCAAGATAACCTCAAGATAACCCACCACAGCCCGGTTTGTCCGGCACTCCTTGAAGAAAACAATCTAGTTTCCTCTTGAAGATGTCCACAGTTGTTCCAGCAATATTTCTGATGCTCGTTGGGAGGATGTTGAACAACCGTGGACCTCTGATGTTCATACAGTGTTCTCTGATTGTGCCTATGGCACCTCTGCTCTTCACTGGTTCTATTCTGGGTTTTAGGCCTACTGGGGACCACAAGTCAGAACAGGCCCCCCTCAAAGAGGCACGAGGAGTAATGGCCTATTGAAACACCCCCACCCCCCCAGTGTGGTTGGAAGCATTCTATATCTGCCATCTGCCATCGACCGGGTCAGACACCCAGAAAGATAGGTGCACCAAAACAAACCCCCTATCTGGTTTAAATTTTACTACTGAAAGCCAAATTGTTGGACAGAACTCCCCAAACTAAAAACGAGCAAGCAAGCATGACATCACAACCGTCACCGTGCCGCTGTCTGTGCAGCTTTTCCCTCCCTGGGAGGGGGACGGTGGAGCTCCATACTTCCCTGTTCGCCCCTGTGCTTCCTCGGGATGTTGACCTTGTGAAGCTGCATGTGCAGGTTCCCACCCTTTTGGTATCTTTGGTGGATGTGGACTTGAGTGCTTGTGGCTTTTAGGTTGTCATCACATTTTTGTCTGTTGCTGTTTGCAGACAGTGCTGTCACTCATTTTCTGCAGGCGGCCTCGTCCAAGTTGCCATCCCAATTCAGATGTTACTTCTCTGGAGTGGCTATTCTCGGGCCTCTCGGAAGGGTCGTGCCAGGGCTCGGGGCTCTTCCAGTCGAGGTGGGCCTTTGGTGCTAGTTTCTTTGCAGTCACCTCCTTCAGAGCCGGCATTGTCTGGTCAGTGCAGTGCTCGCTCTGATCATTGGCCGGCTTCTCATTAGGAGCATCAGCCCTTTCGCGGGTCGCCCCGTTGACGGGGCACTGAAGGGGGATAGGCTCGTGCTGTTTGCTCACACCTGGTCCCACGATTTGTGGGCGTTTTGGGTCGTGTCCAGCCTGTGGTGGCATTGTGCTGCTGCTCCTTCAGGGAGTTCGGCACTGGTGGGGCAGGATTCTTCCCCTTCGCTCTGTCAGGTCATCTTGGAGTGGGTGCGCTTGGGTGTGGTCCAAACGACCCCATCCCTCATGTGGGTTTTCTGCTCGTTTCCAGTGCCAAAACGGGACTGGACTGTGGATCTTCGGTTCATTCGGGACTTGTCCTGTCAGAACCCCTGGATTCCTTGCCCCTCCTTTCGGATGACCACTCTGTCCAGGTCCGGGTTCTTTTGGAGCCAGGTTCTTGGATGGTGTGTCTAGACCTCTGGGACACTTATTGGCACGTCCCTATTCACCCAGAGTGAACACTCAGGGACTGGTTAGGTTTCGTTGTGGGGCAGCAAGCTTACCACTTTCGTTGCCTTCCTTTTGGCTTGAATCTGGCACTTTGCGTATTCACGGGGTCTTACCTGGGTCGTGGTGACCTGTTTGCGCCTGCTAGGTGTTTGGGTTCTGGCCTACCTTGACGATTGGTAGGTGTGGGCTCCCAGCTGGTCTGCTTGTCTGCTCATCAGGGGGTGTGGTTCTTTCCCAGCTCACCGGGTTCGGGTTTTTGGTGAAATAGAGGAAGTCCCATCTGGTTCCATCCCAGGTTCGAACCTTGTGTGGGACTCTCGGACCACTTCCATGTCTCTACTTCCTGCGGCATTGCTGCGACTGCAGTCCTGCCTTCAGCTGTTTCTGGGGGGTTCCCGGGTTACTCAGCGGTTGCTCTAGCAGTTGTGCGGGGAGTCTCAACTTTGTCGTGCTGGTTTACCCACCAGTTCAGATCTGGTTTCTGCATCTGTTCTGGTTCCTTTAGGGCCATTTCTTCTGCCTCTCTTGCAACTGCTGGGTTCAGCCTCCAGGGGCCTTGCGTTGGTTGCTGCATCGCTGGCTTCCTCTTCGGATTTTTCGGGTTTCAATGCCTTGGCGCCTACCCAAGCTCTCACTCAATGTGTTCACCTCTCTCTCGACTGGGGTTTTGTGACCAGTGCCCAAAAGGCTGGCCTGGGGCAATAGGCTCCATCCTTCCATCAGGCTCACAGCACAATGCAGGAGTTCATGGCGGTTTGGCTGTCACTTCGGAGCATCTGGGTTGCTCGGGGTTCTACGATCCGGCTCCATTTGGACTGCTCTTCTGTGGTTCATTGTCTAAACCGCGGGGGTATTCTTTAATCCTTGGCTCTTTGGAGCTGGTCGCTTCGAGTGACTCGCCTGCTGGATTCTCGGGGTTTGGCTCTCCGTGCAGTTCATATTTGGGGAGTGTTCTAATGTCCTAGCGGATGGTCTGTCTCCGGTTTATTTCCCTGTCCGTAGAATGGACAGTCGATGCAGACTCTTTCAGTTAGCTCTGCCGGATGTACGGGCTTCCGGAGGTGGACCTCTTTGTGTCGGCATGGTCTCGGTGTCTCCTGATATATGTGGCGCCCTTCCCCAATTGCGGAGCTGTCGCTGTGGACGCCTTTTGGAAGGACTGGTAGAGGTGGGGGTTACCTGTACCTCTTTCCCCCGGTCCAACTGTTGCTTCGGATTCTGACTCATTTTGGAGTCTCACTGCGGCAGAGTCTTCCTGGTGGCCTCTTGGTGGCCAGTCCAGCCTTGGTTTCAGGTACTGCTTGCTCGGTGTCTGAACCTGGAGCATTTTCCGTGGCTCCACCTCTTTCGTCAGATTGGACTGTTCCGGTACATGGCTGATTCGGTCTGCTCCTTCACTCTTCACGTCTAGTCTTTTTGATGCCAGTGTATCACCACTTGTATGGTGTTCAGGTGGCATCGTTGATGGTGTCCCACCTACGAGCTTCGTGTCGGTGACAGTATGAAGTTTCCTGGCTTTCTTTTTGCCATTTTCTCTTTCTTCGTAGGTTGTCTTCTATTTCCGATCAGGTTGTGTTGTCCTTTCATTCTTGGCTTTTTTAGAACTCATTTGGTGCCCAATAATGTCGCCTCTTATCATTCAGCGCTGGTGGAGCCACTCCAGCTTGCATTCGGGGATGGATGTCACTTTGGCCTCTTTTCACAAGCTTTCTCGGGCTTTGTTTCACCTCCGGCTCACTCATGCGCCACCTGAGCCATCCTGGTCCTTGGACAGGGTGCTCTCTTTTGCCTCTTCTCCTCAGTTTGTGGTGGCCCCTTTGGTTCAAGACTGTTTTCCAAGACTTTGTTTCTGTTGGCATTGGCCTCTGGGGGTCGGGTTGGTGAGCTTCATGCTCTCCTCCGGAGCAGGGGGTTTCTTCTCTTTCGGTCCTAGTGGTTGGTTTGTTCATTTACAGCTGTCTCCATTTCTGGCGAATAACGAGATGGCGGAATTCCGGAGGGGCTCTTGAGTCATTGATTCTTGGTTGGTCAGGTCGCGGGTGCATCATGTGTTGTATCCAGTTGCGGCTCTTCGTCGTTATCTGTGCACCTCGGCTTCTGTAGCCGGGAACTCACTTTGGGTTTATCCAGTTTCCCCTGGTTCCCTTTTCCAGGGCTCGAGCCTCCCAGGTTGCCAGCCTGTGGTCTACCCTCATGCCCATGACATTCTTAAGTTTGCTGCTTTGGCTGCCGTGTTCGGCAACATATCTTAGGCTGACATTCGGGCACAAGGGTTTTGGAGGTGGAATAGGGTCCTGGCCACCCGTTATCTGGTCAATATTCCTGGTCCCGGTCATTCGTGTGTGGCTTTGGGTCACCAGATACAGCCATTTGTTTTGACTTAGAGTTGACGTACACAATGCTGTCGCCTCTTGGGTAAGTCCGTCTTTTTACTTGTCTTTGGTTAGGTAACTCCAGGGAGCCGGAGAGCCTTCCCACAGAAAATCAGCGTTGAATATAATGAAACCCAATTATCTGGGTGATCCCCGAAGGCTCCCTGGCACCCTCCCTCCCTCCGGACAGCGGTTTCGGTTTGCTTTTGATGCCCAGCCTCCGAATTGAAGGTGTGAGTAGCTGGCGCGAGGAGTCCAGGGCTTCCTTCTTCCCCTGACGGGGAGAGGAGAGTTGCGAGGACAAGCGGCCCGGTGGCGGTGAATGACGTTTGCTTGTTTCTTTATGTTTTTGGGGGAGTTCTGTCTCTGTTCGGTCTTTGGTTGCAATTTCTTTTTAGGCGGGGTTTGTTTTGTTATGCCTACCTTTCTGGGTGCCTAACCCTGGTCAATGACAGACATGGCATACTCCCAAACACATGGGGTTTTCTATAGGCTATTTCTCCCCGTGCCTCTCTGAGACGGCCAGGTTTTGGCCCGTGGTCCCAGGTAGGCAGAACTTCAATTGACTGATGCCCCAAACTAATATAGCGTATATCAGTCCGATAGCTCCGGGGAGCCTCCAGGGCTCACCCAGAAAATGATGTTTCATTACCAGTACATTCAACTCCTGTTTTTTATGTATCAAGATGTAGCAAGTTTTAATAAAATACAGTACAGTATAGTATATAAAACATAAAAATTACAACTGTTGCTTTTTCTTTCCAGATTGTAGTACAATCTCCATTCCTGACCATGGACCTTTTGGAGGCCTGCTTCCCTTATGCCCTTATTCGTAATGCCTATCATACCGTGCACAAAGCTGAACACTGAACCTTACCCTGTATACCTCAAAGATAATATTAGTCACTTCTTAAGCCTTACAATTTATACATTTTTTAGTTACTAGAATGCTCAAAATATGAGATTAATTTCTTTTAGAACAGAAGTCTAGGAAAATTTGCTACTTGGGATTCCAATATTTATTTTGAGCAACATATTGTATACATAATTTTTCAGTTAATGTAATATTTGTTAATGAATTAGTTTTGTATCTTTTCTGTGTAGCCATTCATATTTGTGTGTGTCACAGACCTACTTTAACAGTTGTTTATAATATTCTTGAATGGTACTTTTAGAAATTGTTATATAATATATATATATATGATAAAATAATTAAAGGTACAGTAACTGGATTGCTTGAGTTTTCTATTATGTATGACTACCAAATATTCTTTTGGAAAGTAATTTATGTGCAGGCGTATATAGATCAATGGAACCTCAGAAGGGTAGGAACCAGCTAAACAAACAGTTTCAGACCAGATCCCAGCCGCAACAAATGAACTTCCATGGCATGTGAAATTGACTATTTTATATAAAACAATAGTGTGTTTTTGCTGGTGCAAAGGATCGAACATTGGTGGGCACTTTGAGACCAACATCACATAGAAAAAGTACATTTTAAAATATTTTATTAACTTTTGTTAACAAAGATTTATTATTGACCATTGTAACCAATCATGACAACCTTTCTAACAGGAATTTTTCCATTGTATACAGATTTCCAGTAGACCAGGTTCCATTTGAGCAGGTTTCCATGCTAAGCTGTTAAAATTATTTGGAGAAAGTATGTTTTTAATGCAGGTATTTTGTTTATTTTGTTAAAGCTTTACGAACTTAAATTTAAGTCAGACTGGTATATGGAAACAGGAAGTCGTCTTTATTTTTACATTGCATACCGATCATAATATTCATACATTAAAAACAGAAACCTTTACCTGTACATCAAAATTTTCAGTAGAACGAGTTCTGTTCTGGTAGGAATGTGCTTACCTATGTGCTCACCTATCAGTGGCAAGAGGAGAATGATATCTAGCTTTTTATTCCCCACTACCTAGCTGTTTATACCTGATGTACTAATTTTACCTTTCTCAATATTAACGTTTTCATTATATTTTTGTCAGCCCGTCCTCCAAAAATGGGGTGGTAAATGTAAGAAGACAAATAAGTGCAATTATGTACTATTCATAGCAGTTAGGAATTGTACTTATTTTCACTTAGTATTAAATCGTACTGTCAGATATATTGTGAATATTTGAGTTTACCCGAAAAACTGAAAAGAAAACCACAACCTCACCTAACCGTCTTAGTTTTTGAAGATAATAATTGTATTGCTTCTTAATTACAATTATTACTTAACCTATAGCTATATTGATATTACAGTTTTATAAAACTAATAAAACAAAACTAAAATATATCAATAAATTGCAAAGTAACTCAGGATATTTTAAAATTTTGTATAAAATCTCTATTGTTTAATTAACCTGAAAAAGAAATTCCTGATATTTAAAACTTGTGTATTGCTAATTGAAGTTGAAAACGTCATCCTAAAATTCTGAGTGACTTAACAGAAAACGAGAAGAATTAAAGCGGGGGAGGGAGTTGGGTCAATGTAACAGCCCCATAAGTGCAATTATGCACTGGTTATTACAGTAAGAAAGTGTACTTATTACACTTAGTATTAAATCGTACTGTCAATTCGGAGGATGGGTTGATTTTTGTTTATTGTGGATTGAATTGGCTTCAACAGCCTCTTCCTTCAGTGCATTCCAATTTCCGACCACCTGTATTGGGTACGAGAACTTCCTTACATCTCCATCTCAATTACATGTCCAGCTTTCACTGATGTTCCATTGTCCTACCTCTTTTTTTTAATTTAAATAGGCATCCTTTGTCCACTTTGTTTATTCCTCTCAGGATCTTTTATGTAGTTATCATATTCCCTTTATTTCTTCTCCCTAAAGTTCTGAGGCTGAGTACTCTCAGCCTGTCCTCACAGCTGAGGCCTCTCAGTTCTCATACTAATGCACTTGCAAACCTCATATCTGTATGTATATGAACATGCACAGAGAATGAGATGTTATATGTACTATAAATATATCTATAAATTATCACAGGAAACAGAAACATGGTAGGTTGAGGTGTTCGTCATTTATTTTGGTTTCCTGTATGAATTTACATAATAATATATTCACTAATGATACAAATTGTGTATCACTTTGAGGTGTGGGATTTTTATAATAGTATTATCCTCTGTTAAAAGTTCAGTTTAATATGATTACCATGTACTGTACTATATTTTAACTCGGGAGCTAATGCTACTTCAGTAACAAGAAATGTAGAAAAGGGAAGCTGGCAAATATTGTATTATATTTAGGATAGAAATAAATATAGTGTTGAAGAATGTAATGTAGGCTTTAAGTGACAGTACAGACCACAAGTTGTGTGTAATACAATAATGTATTTAATTGAACATCTGAGCAAAAAAAGCACAAATCACATTTTTCCTTGAATTTGAAGTAGCTACAGAAAGTAACACAAATGTGGAAAGATTTGTATATTGTTTTTATTGAAGTCATTTATTACTTGATTATAGTCATTCATTCTCATTTTTATTGAGCATTCTAGTGTCCTTTATTTGTATATAACAGTATTATACGAGACAATTTTTGAAAGCACAAATTGATGTTTTGTAACGGCAATATGAAGAACATTACTTTTATTCTAGACAACATGAAAACTTATAATTATTTGTGTATTTAAATATATAGAGAGAGAGAGAGATTAAGAGGAACATCAGATTACAGTATATACTGTGCAATATATGATTGTATTGGATTTAGTACACGTTAACTATATGGCAAAACTTGGTAAAGAATGGAGTTTTGTGTTGCTTGTTACAGCTTGTGCCTGGATTGATGTGTTACTGAGAGATAATTGTGTTTGGTGTATTATTAACCTGGTATTTTGAGATGCATTGTATTTGCCAGGAATCGAGGCCATCACTGTAGGCTTGGAATAAATTTTTATATGCAAAATAAATTAATCTTGTCACCAAATAAAGCCTCTTGTCATTATTCCAAATGAACTTCCATTACCAGACTAGTAACTTTTGGGTTGCATGGGAACCGTCATCTGAAGGCAAGAGTGAGTCCCATACAATAATGGTCTGGAATACGGAAACATTACTGACTTGTAAAGATCATCATAATTTGTTAAACAATATTAAGGTTTTTTGTACATCAGTCAGGTTTCTATTCATTTTTATAAAAGTTACTGCTAGATTCATTGTCATTAAAAAAATTGGAATTTTTATAAATTATTATTAACACTTTCGCCCGGGGATGACGCAGCATTGCGTCATCCGTTCACTGGCGGTAATGCCGGGGATGACGCAGCATTGCGTCATCCACTTTAAATAATCGCCAAAAATCAGGTTTTTATCCGATTTTTTTGGGACTGGTTTTAAAATGTGCGCCGATGTCTTCCCATTTTCTTTGTTGAGCCTCGTGGCCCTCAGGTGGCTTGGCACATGCCGTGGGCCCATTGTTTTCGCTCCACTGTTGTGACCAATGTCGCCTCCCCTCGCATCTCAAACGTGTGAACATTTCGGCTATTTTCCGTGGCTATATTTCTTACTGCGGCTTTAGAAACTATCTACCCTTACTCCACAATGGATAGTGATCATGAACAAGGCCCTTCCAGGATGAAAATTGCGAAAGAAAGGCTTGAAAAGGGAGGGAATTGGGAGTGTAGCTGAAAGGCGTCCGAGCGCTCACTCCCGGCTAACGCGTGGCCCGTCTTCAACTCGTCAGCGGTTGGAGCGTGACCAGGTTTTATACTTTATATGCTAATGTTCCTCTAGAGAATTCTATTGCGAACCCATTGAGACCAAAATGAAAGACCTAGGACAAAAATTGAGGTGACCAGAGTGAAAATAGTGAAAACATTTTAACGCTTTTGCACACTCCTGGGTAACTCGTTCGCACTTTCTCTGTTTGCTGCGGGTAATTAGCCGGGCTTTTGGAGTTTATATGCATTTAGTGCTGTAGAGAATTCTATTGCGAACACAATGATACCAAATTTATTCTCGTAGGACGAGAATTAAGGTGACAAAGTTGAAGAGAGTATACACTTTTCAGAATTTACGCGCGCTCCCGTGACACCCTGGGTCCCATATCGCACTATTGAGGGGTGGCGTGCGGGGTGAGCGAAAGTGTTAAACAGACATTCATATTTAATGTCAAAATTGTGATAGAATTTCTGTGAATACATCGACTGGTTAAAACCTGTAAGATTGTTCTTGATTTACACTACTTAGGTTAAGTATATATATTATAGAAGTATCTTGCTAATTCTTGCTTGTATAAAGACCTGTAACATTTTTGTATGACATGAAATTTGTAAATGAAGAAATCTCATTGTTTATCCTAAATCACAAGGATATGTATTTATGTACAAGTATAGATGAAAACTTTGGTTTTAAGAAAATACATATTAATTTTCTTGAAAGCTATGAAATTACAAGTCTGGCCTTTTTTTTATATGTCTGAATGTTGAAAAAATTCTGTACTTTTGTTCCTTGTAGGTGCTTCACTTTTGTAAATTTACAAAAAACAATGAAAATTGTCTATTTATAGATACCTTGCAATGTTTCATCCCAAGTAGTTGCTTGGAACATTGAAATGTTATATGCTTTTGTAAAGTTGATGTATAGTAACATAATACTGCTTATCTACTCTTAGTTAAATATCAGTGCAGTGTTGATGCAGTGATTTTAAGGCTTTAATAATGTTTTATGAGGCTTATTCTTATACAAAAGCACAGTAGGAGTCCTGAATGCAGAAATCCCTGAAATCATAAATTACCAATTACCAATTGTGGTCTTGAAAAATTTCATCTGAATTATGTATTATGAAGAAGTAAGGAATACAGTGACTTATTATCTGGCCTTGAAAAAAACAGCTTATCCAGTTATTCAAATTTTCCATGTAAGCCAAGATAATTCCATTTTCATTGTAGTTTATTAATAGATCACAGGAAGCCATATCCATTGTCTATACATGCTCGGCTGTTGATGATCAATTGTAGTCCTCCTAGCTAGTATTTCTTATCAGTGATCATAATGATCACAATACTCTGGCTGGGACAAATAAATACTAAGCACACACCCTAGACATGACAAGGTGATAATTTCATTCTGTCTTGGACCATTATTAAGTTGATAATGGTTCATGATGGTCTGAAATACCACCATATTTGCTTACTTAATGTGAAAATTGAATGTTTTCCTTTGTGTCGTATAATACCAAGGAGAGTTCTGCTTGTGCTTCAGGAAGAAATCCACAAAATAAAAATAAATATCCCAAAGCTTTACTCTTTGCACTCAGCAGAAATTTGAAATTATTAATTGCTTTAAATGGGGTTCTAGAGTAAACAGACATCTACCATGAGTATTACTCTCATTTATTAAACAAATGTGTGATATTGTAAGGGTTAATGATATATTCAAATTTTGTCATCTATGAATATAAAGTACTAAACATAACTAAAGAAAAAAAGTAATTAGGGGAGAAGGTATCATGTGCTAGATTGGATGATTACAGTATAAAGTACTGTATTAAACTAAACACCATCTGCCCAGTTACCCCATTTTAATTTATCTAACCATCTGTTTGTTTCACCAAGGTCAAATAATACATTTTACTGTTATCTGATTATATTTATGCTTGAGAGTCATTGTCAGACATGCATTTTATATAAAGATGTATGATAGTTAATCCAAAATTGTGTGTGTTCATCTATGCAGTGTTTCAAAGTCAGTTTATGGCTGTAACCAAAGAATGAATGAATAAATTTTCAGTTATACAATAAGGGGTGTAACTCTTCCTGTCAGCTTTTAACTAGTTTTTGCATCTGATTACTAAGTTTATATATTTGACTCTTCCGTATATGTTTCTTGAATTTTTTCTTAATGTAATGTGTATAAATTAGCAGGGTAGTGCAGAAAGCCCAGTATTAAGTATATTAATGAATCTTGTATTAATTTATTTACTTATTTATGTACAAGAACGTACATTGGATTGTGAGAGTACATAACAATGGTGTTTTAA